ACAGCCCACCATGAGTGAAATGCTTTAACAAGAGCCGAAATCTCGAAGCGGCAAGGAGTTGCGGCAGCTCCCATGCCTCTGTGACTGATTGGAAGTGTAAATCAACTATCATACAACCTATAAAATTGTAGGCACGATTACTTAATCCCGTATTTCTAATCAGCCCGGAAATCAGAGTCTGAGCAGTGGAACTTGATTTGGTCGGCAGTGACATACTGCTGATAGCATCCATCTTGAGATGGAATTTAAACTATGTTTGGTGGGTAAAAATTGGTGTTACGTAGTTCAGCCAAATTGGCAGTCTTGGTGATAGTAATTGGAGGTGGGAGCGATCTAATGGTGGTGGTTCATTCCACGAGTGATTTCGTCACTCCACTTGTGCTAAACCGGAGTAAACACGAACTTACTTATCAATGAATGCTTAAGATGCAACGTTCCAGTTTGCATTCCTTGAACCACGTGAGTAGAAAAGCCCTTCAGCCATTCAAGATGACGATGGCAGTTACAAGCAGGTCATGCCAAACATCTTCGTTTACAATCTTGCCACTTTAGGTTTTCCCTTCTTTGGTTTAAATGGCCAGAATAAGAGAAGTAAAGAAGACCTTGAGGAACGATTGCAACAATCTGCTGAATTATTTATCACTTTAGAAAACGGGTACTGATTTAGGCATTGTAGAAGACGTATGATCGCAGCCTCAATACCAATGATCTAATTTAACGGTCATGCAAGCAGATAGCTAGTGGAGTTGACTTATCTTGATGACATTCTCATGCTCCAAGGTGAAATGGCATCCTGCCGGGGCATTTAGACGCATGTGCGCTCTTTGAGAACCAATCGGAAATCGCCCGTTAGGGTATAAAAGTCCGCATTTCCCTTCACGGCTCTGATAGGGGCGTAAAGAGGACGAAAACGGCATGCATGTCGCGACTTTTTTCCTGCTCATTCTTCTCTCCGCCATTCAAGCGCACGCTTGGTGGAGTCATGAGTGCTGCAAGTGCCCCGGCCTGGACGACGATGACACCTCCTTCTTCATCAATTTCACTGGAGGTATCGATGAAGAGGACTCCCAAGAACCTGCACCGACTAATCTCTCGAAGGAAAAAAGGAAACTGCTGGACCTTCAAAACAGCTATCGTCGAAGAGTTGCTCGGGGACAAGTCCCTGGGCAGCCACCCTCCTCGAATATTCACGATCTGGTATGTTTTTAATTGAATTTCATGTGTGTCAGTTAATGACAGGCCAATTACAGAACTAAAAGGTGAATGAGACACATTATAGATAGGTAAAATCAGTCCTTAAAAGGGTCTGCACCAGGAAGTGGGTTTTTCTTCTCTCTCGCCTTTTAAGAAATGGAGTACGGAGTTGGAGGCCTCGGCCCAGAGACACGCTGACACCTGTCAATTCGCTCACGACAGCAACGAGGCACGCAGAACGGCTAGGTGGGACTGGGTCGGACAAAACATTGCTTACTCCTCCAGCGTAGCTCAGTAAGTGAACACCTTGCCTTGTTGTCATCAGTGGTCCACTTGAGTTGTCCTCTATGCATAAAAATAAAAAGGTGAAATAAATATGTTTTTATTTGTCCCAAAGGAATGTCGAAATGTGGTTCAACGAATACAAAGACTACAACTACAGTTCCAACTACTGCAGTGGTGTCTGCGGTCACTATACACAGGTAAACATAAGTTTTCATTTTGGCCAAAGTAGAACAAAATCTCATAGTGTAAGAAGCAATAAGGCTCTGCCAAACTCTTCTCTCAGCAAAAGGACTAAGTGCTACCGACATGACTTGGATGCGATGCCACCTAGCACAGCTAAGACTCACAGAAACTAAAGCATTCGTTTTGATGTAGACGCAGACAATAAAAATTTCGACTGGGTGCATTTGCACAACATGTTGTGAGCAGTAACGTATTCCTTTAATGTTAGTCAGGTAAGAGTTTGATTTGATGAACTCACAACAGTCAAATCCACCATTTAGTAAGTTTTATTGTGAAGGTGCGAGCTCACTTTTCATTGTATCAAATACTGTCACCAGGGCTTTGGAAGGCTGCCATTCCATGCCAGACAAGTTCAGTTCGTGGGTTACGTTATCCCCCCCCCTTCTATCTGCATGCTTTAGCTCGTATGGGCGGACACCACACATGTCGGGTGTG